GCGACTGAATGTGACACAAAAGGCTCTTCCCAACTAGTTTTGTCGGCATGACGTCATCAGGAGCTGTACCATCTTGCTCCACTATCTGCTCTATATACTAGCCTCTAATCAATCCTCCCTCCCCTAAAATTCCTTAACCTTTCACATTCTCTTAAAATTGCAATGGTGGATATACAAAACCGCAAAATATTGCTCCCTATGCACCTCAAATCAAATGCACATGTACTGAGCATATAAATGAATAAACATATAAAATGAGCATATGAATAAAACATTTGCTGAAATACTAATCATTAGAGATAAAACAATTAACATTAAACCATAAAACATTACAGACAAAACATTCTACCCTCCACGTTATAATGATTCTAAAGTGAAAATCCACTGCGTTTCCCTCTTGGAAATCTCCCTTTTTATTATTATTATCCCTCTCCAATGATCTTTTATCTTATCTATAGCATACAACTTCATATCCCTTGGAACTCTATTGTGTTTCACTCTGAAATGTCTCGATAAGCTATGGTATTTAAATCCTCTCTTTATATTATAGATGTGTTCTCCAATTTTTTTACTAAGTTTTCCAGTGTTCCGCCCTACATACTGGAGACCACAGCTGCATTCCATGACATACACAACATACATACTACTGCATGTGATGAATTCCTTGATGTCATACTGTTTTCCTATCACCTGCGATACAAACTCTTTTATCCCCCTTTTTACTACCAGTCACATCTAAAAAAACCTTTTTTGGTTTACGAAGGTGTAATTTCTCTGGGGGAGAATCTATTACATTATGTACTAATTTATTTTTTTTGTATATAAATATAGGTTTATTAGGGATGAATATGGCCAGTATCTTATCCTTCTTCAGAATCTGCCAATGTCTTTTTATTAAGGCTTCTAATTCTTTTATATTGTCTATTAAAGCCTGTTAAAAAGGCCACTTCACGTCTATCCCTATTAGAGCTTCTATTTGTACCCTCTTCCAGTAGCTTTTCTCTACTCATGTGTTTTATCTGCCTGAGCAATTTCTCCAGCTGATCAGAATTATATCCTTTTTCCCAAAACCTCTCTACTACTATGCCTGCCTATTCTTCATAGTCTTCATCTGACTGACAACTCCTACGAATCCTCAATAGTTGTCCCTTAGGGACATTTCCTATCCATTTCGGGTGATAGCAACTGGATGTGGGTATATATCCGTTTCTATCCATTTGTTTGAAAAACGTTTTTGTACACAGTTTATCCTTGGACTTGGAAACCACCAAATCTAGTTAGTTGATCTTTTCTTTATGCCATTCTCCCGAAAAGGATATCTTATACCTATTGTTATTGATTTCATAAAGGACATTTTTTATCGATTCCTCAGTGCCTTCCCATAAGATAATAATGTCATCATTAAATCTTTTTATAAAATTTCAATTGACGTCTATCTTTTTCATATATTTCTTCTTCCTCCCATTTACTCATAAATAGGTTAGCCACACTAGGGGCATACTTTGCCCCAATGGCTACTCCTCTGGTTTGTAGGTAATAATTCTGGTACCAGAAATAATTGCTCTGCATTGCCATTTTTAGCCCTTCTAGAATATACTTTATTTGTTCTTGTTTCAAGTCTGATTGGATATATAATGCCCACTTCACAGCTTCTAGGCCATCAGTCTGCATTATGTTGTTATATAATGAGTTAACATCAATCGTGACTAGTAGACAATTATTTATACCCTTTTCCTTATCCAACAATGATATAAGCTATTTTCTGTCCCTTAGGTATGATTTTTTTTTACCACCAATGGCTGTAGATAACCATCAATGTATTCCCTTAACCTTGTAAATAGAGAATCCAACCCGTTAATGATGGGTCTCCCCGACCGCTTACTCTGATTTTTATGCACTTTAGGTACATAATAAATTGCTGGTGTTCTAGCCGGTTCAGGTACTAGATATCTAGCTTTTGCTTAAAATAACCCTACCTCTCCCTTTTTTATATACATTTTTAATCTCTTCTCATATGTTTTTTTTATGATTAGCCTTTATTTTTGTATATGTGTTATCTGCTTGTAATAATCTATTCATCTCTTCTTCGTAATCAATTCTACTTAATATCACCAATCCTCCTCCTTTGCCCGCTGGACGAATTACCACATTCTTCTTCTTTTTTTCAAGAGATTTAATACATTTCCGTACATTACCACTCTTTTTGGTTTTATCCACTTTAATATTTTTAAAATCTTCCACCATTGCTTTAAAAACTTCTAAATACTCACTTCCTCCTATCTTTGGATTGAACACAGAATTATTTTTCAAATTACTATGTTTAAATTCAGTCGGTGCCTTTTCCTTTCTCTCCAATTTGTGCATAACATTTAATTTTCTAATAAACTTTTGAAGGTCTATGTATATCTCAAATTTGTCCATTTCCTTATCTAGTGCAAATTTTAACCATAAATCCAGTAAACGTTTTTCTTCCACTGTGAAGTCTACATTACTGAGGTTAAAAATCTCAAGCCCTAATGTTCCCTTTTTCTTTTTACTCCCTCCTCTCCTTCCTCTGGTTCTCTTCTTTACTCTCTTTCTGTGTGTGTGTGTGTGTGTGTGTGTGTGTGTGATTTTGGGACAAGTGCGTGTTCCCTCTCCCCTCTTGTGGGGGTCCTCTGTTTCCCCATTGGGTATTAGGATATTGTTCTTGATGTCTGGTTGGCCCTTTCCAACCATGTTGTGGTGGTGGTCCATATACCCCTCTGTTGTGCTGGGTTCTGTATTCTCCCTGCTGGCCATAAGGTCTGTCCTGCTGTTTTCTGGCTAAAAAATGCCTATTATTGTTTCATCCCCTTCCCTGATTGTATTGGGGGGAATTTTCAAAATGTTTCAAAGGTGCAAAACATTTAAAAGTTCTAATTCCAGTTCTGGGTGTGTATGGAGCTCTCTGATAATAATTATTGTAATATGAACCCCCTCCACGTGATGTGCTATAGTAGTTCCCTTTGAAAGCCCCCCTAGGGGTTCTAGGTGGCCCATGTGGACAATCTCCCTTATATTCCTTCCTATTAGGGGTAGATGGATTCTTCCCCCTTTGACTCTCCTTTTGATGGTTATGTTGAGGCTGTGTTTTTCCTTTTTCCTGTTTTACCTCCTGCCAGCTAGTGTCGCTGTCATCATCCTTTGTTTATAGTGGATTCAAAGGAATCCTCAGAAGCAAAGTCTCCTTCTGGGCTCCATGTGCTTTCTCCTCCAGTTCTTCCTGCCACTTATACACTCACTGTTTCTTATAATCCATCACATCCCTTTGATACTTTTTTAGTTTTTTTATTTCTTGTATCCATATCAACTTTCTGTATGAATTCCTGTTACCTTTTGGATATTTCCTTATATTCCACAGTGTCTATCTAGGTATCATGCTCTCCTTTAGTTCTAAGATTTTGCTCTCTACCTTTTTTAATTTCACTTGTCTCCTTTTAATAACCAATTTCAATAGATCTATTTCCTTCTGGTTGAAGAATTTGTACCATTCCTCCATCAGCATTTGGTCCATTAGACCATCGTTGGGGTGGACCTCCCACCTTAACCTTCTAGGGTTAATCCTTTCTTTTATACACATTTCCAAAGTGACTATGCCCCAACAAACTTTTAATTGCTTTTCCATGGCATATTTTAGATGTTTAAAAGAATGATAGGGAGTATTATTATTATTATTATACAGTATTTATAAAGCGCCAATAGTTCGCTCAGTGCTGTACATTACAAAGGGGGACAGAACATGTGACAGAACAGAGTATTGATTTAAATAGTCCCCAAAGCTATCTGGTGGCAGTTTGGAATGTGAAGGGTTAATTGTGTAATTAACCAAACCCAGTGACAATCGCTCTCAGGCTGCTGGCAACTAGATTGTGGTCCTGCGAGCTGGAAAATCTCTGTGCAGGGTGCAGCTGAGGGTGGCATTGTTACGCAAGTGACAGCGCGGTGTGAAATTGGCTGGTCCTTTGGCACGAGTTTGTGAGAACAGCAGTCGGGCACTGCATTCATCACAGATGGTCCCTACTAAACTGGACAAATTTCGATCAATGTACAGTATAGCCAGTTTTACTGTGAAGAAGCATTTCTGAATGTGGTGGTTGAATATTTTTTCCTCCAGAAGTAAGGAAAGCCCCTTGTCCTTTGAGGTAGACTTAAAATTAACTCTACACCAAGTTCATTATATGGACCACCTACATATTTATACATGATGATCCTATATCCCATAATCATCTCATCTGAAGGGGGAATAAATTAAGTTTAGTTAATCTTTCAACATAGCTGAGCTCCTCCATGCCTCCTATCAATTTAGTCACCCTCCTCTTTTTTTCCAGTTTCTCAAAATCCTTTTTGTGAACCTGTACCCAAATCTAAACTGTATATTCCAGATGAAGTTTTACTAATAATTGTTATAGGGGCAAAATGATGTCTCTGATGTCCCTCTCTCTTTAGAGTCTATATCTTTTAATACAAGGATTTTGCTTGTTTTAGAAACATTGCATGTTATACGTTTATGATCTACCAGAACACTTAGATGCTTCTCTACCATTAACTCACTCAGTTGTGCTCCTAGAATTTAACCACTAGCCTACAGGACACTTACACCCCCTTCCTGCCCAGGCCAATTTCCAGCTTTCAGCGCTGTCACACTTTGAATGACAATTGCACGGTCATGCAACACTGTACCCATATGTAACTTTTATCATTGTTATGAGACAGATAGAGCTTTCTTTTGGTGGTATTTAATCACCTCTAGGATTTTTATTTTTTATTAAACAAACCAAAAACCACTGAATTTTTTTTTTTTTTTAAGTTTTTTCTTAGTTTTTGTTATACAATTTTGTAAATAAGTGATTTTTCTCCTTCACTGATGTGCGCTAATGAGGCTGCAGTGATGGGCACTGATAGACTGCACTGATGGACACTGATAGGTGGCACTGATGAGGAGGCACTGGTAGGTTGCACTGATGGGCATTGACAGGCATCACTGATGGGCACTGATAGGCAGCACTGATACAGGACACTGATATATGGCACTGATAGGCGGCACTGATAGGCGGCACTGATAGGCGGCACTGGCTGGCACTGATAGGCGGCGCTGATGCGCACTGATAGGCAACACTGACTGTCACTGATAGGTGGCACTGATTGGCATTGATAGGTGGCATTGACTGGCACTGTTGGGTGACATTGAAAGGCAGCTCAGATGGGCACTGATATGTGGCATTGATGTGCACTGGTATGTGGCATTGATGTGGCACTGATGGGCACTGGCACGTGGCACTGATGAGCCCTGACTGCTGGCACTGATGGACACTGACAGGTGGCACTTCTGGGGCCACACTGATCATCAGGGCACACTGATCATCAGTGCCCTGATGATCAGTGTACATGTCCCCTCCGCGGAAAGCCGATTACCGGCTCGGCTCTTCTCTCGAGCTGTCAGCGTGACAGCTCGGGAGGAGAGAGAAATGCCGATAACCGTGATTGGACACAGCTGATCACATGACCGAGCCGACATCTTCAGCTCTTTCCGTGATCAGCTGTGTCCGAGGGACACAGCACACCGGCGATCGTGTAATGAATGGAAAGTAGGAGCCTTGCTGTCGAGGCATCAACAGCAAGGCTCCTACTTTCCATTCATCATACATCTGCATCAGAGGCTGGTCATCAGCTCTGAGGAAAGGGATTCGTCCCCGAAACGCGTCAGTCATTTGACCGCACTGACAGTGAGAACACCTTGCCTGCCGTTGTGGCCATTGTCATTCTTATATGCTTTTTAGATACATGCTTTGTCTGTGAGTATGTTTTTATTATTCTTTCACTCCTACAATAAACCTTGGATAATGCACTAGGTGTGTGCACCACCTGTTTTCTCTCTATCCAGTAGCCGATTTCCCTGTCTGAGGAGGGCTGTACCCCTGAAGCATTTCCTTTGGTTGTCGCTGTCCTGGTACCTTTGGCTTCCCTTTTGGTTGTGCATATCCTGAGGCGCTGGAGAGTACATACGATATGGTGTACGGGAGCACTAAATAGAAACACAATTAAGGAAGTCCTGGCACGGGCCTCCTCCAATATGGCGATGGCTCCCTCTCCTCAGTGACCGAGTCCCGAACACATAAACAAACCCAACAGGATCCTATTGCAGACGGTGAGTCAGATACAGAATTCGGGGTTACCTCCCTAAAGTTTCACTCTGACACCCCCCCATTTGGACTTACTTCAGCAATTTGAACAAATGCTTAGAAAAGCCCTTAAACAAACATCCGACCACATCACTAATAGACTCTCCCAGAAAATTAGGGAGCTAAGGTATTGCACCGCGACCCTAGAACAATGAGCGGATGATCTTGACAACATAGCAGCTAATCACTCTGATATGATAGAAACCCTACAGGAAGAAAACCTAACATTACAAACCAGACTGGAAGACTTTAAAAACAGAGCCAGTTGCTCTAACCTCCACATATGCTGCCTCCCTGAATCGACTGTAGACCTCCAGTCGACGATTACAGCACTATTTCAAGAGATGGCCCCTTCCACCCCAAAAGAGAGGTTGGAAATGGACAGAATCCACAGGGCATTAACTCCTTGCAGACCAGAAGGCCTGCCCCTGGACATTATAGCAAAGCTACTAGCTAAGGAACATCCCGAGAGATTCAGGAAACCATGGGCATGCTGGAGTCATTTCAAAGCCACCCCTACCTATCATCTAACATTACACGATCAACCGAGACCATCTGGCTGAATGTCTAACGACAATGCTGTAGGGGGAAATACCCTGATAACCGAGGACACTTCTCTCACACATAAGGATGGTCTTTAGATCTACATCTCAACATGCCTTCTGGGGTTCTTGATCCACATGTTACCCCACTGACCGATCCTGTACGTATCATATTTTAAGCTTTAGTACTACCTGTCTGGCTTGGCTAATACATAAGGATGTAATCCCTTCTTCCCCCCCCTCCCCCCCCCCCAACATCTCACCCTACAATTCTCTCTCACTGTCTTTCTTTCTAACTTTCTTTTTTCACACCTGTTATTTACCTGTATCACTTATTCTCTACCAACCAAATAGAGCATTTACCTGCACACAGATATGACTAACTTCAACCATAGCACATACTCTAGTTATAATTATGTAAACAATGACCGTCACAGTACCCAACGCTTTCCCTACCCCTACCCCTATCATCACACTACCTCACCATTTAAAAAGTTGATGAGATTCAAGACGAAATAACATTCACCAACATCACTTCATCCATTTTTCTCTTGGTATTCACCATTTTGCAATGTATGATTGATGTAATGTCCTACACCATTTCGTCTTGTATGACTGTTTACAATTTGTCCCGTCTGCGAAACGGGAAGCAACATGTCATGTCTATGTTTTGACTGTGATCTATGGCTGTACATGCTCTAAATGCTTTTTTTGTCTTCTCTTATAACAATAAAGTATTTTTGGAAAAAAAAATAGCAGAGCTGCACTTCTTCCACACAAAAGAAATAGTACGTACCAAGGAGGCACTAATCTTTCAAGGTCATACCTTCCAAACCTTCCAAGACTTGGCTCCCTATACCATCTCCAAGCGACGAGCCCTGAAACACCACCTGCTGATTCTACAACAACACCGTATAACATACCAATGGGATTTCCATTTCTCAGTTAGCTTTTCATACCAGGGTACCCACTATACCTGCAAGTCTTCAGAAGACTTCCAATCTACCCTACGAGACCTTCACCTTCTTTCCGCAGCTCCTCCATCGTAAAGCTCCAGATGCCGCTCTGCAGCCAGCTCCCCACAGAAGCTCCATGCCTCACCTGGTTCCAAGAAGCAAGCTAACACCCATAAAAGAGGATGCTGCGGTACATCTCTCCTACCCCTGCCCACGTGGACTCCATGGATTAAACACCTTTTCACAGACCTGCGAGCATACCATTTTCTCCAACGTCCTTGGACAGCTTAAGCGGGTTGGGGAGGATTCCCTCGTTTTCTTTGCACTATGATTCCAATTCCCAACAGAACCAAAGTCCACCTTGATCCTTGGGAGCCTTACCACCCACCCACCTTAAAGTTCACTAGTAATTTCACCCCCCTCCTGACCCTATCCCTTCCCCTCCCTACCCATCCCTATCTACTTTCCATACCATTCCTCCCTCACCATTACCTCATTTGTCCCCCCTCCACATCCCATTCCCCTTGATGTTCTACCCTTTTTGAACAGGGATCTTTATGAATCCCAGGAGCGCCTCTTTCCCATTTATCCCTAGCAACGTTACTCCATCTCCCTGTAGCAGTTCTCCACTGGGAGTTTGGGAGCCTCCCCCTCTCTCTCATAACTCACTCCGAAGCTCCTGGTATTCATAAAGACCCCATGTTACACTCTTGTTGAATGTTTTCGTTGTTTGACCCATGCCATTTACAAGATATGGGTCTCAATTTCAGTTATACTTACCGTTCATGCTTGTTTCCTACTTCTTAGATACCTGATCTGCTGTGATTACTTGTACCCAACCAACTTCGCTGCCCTAAACATTACTGGTGCGAAAAGTTTTTCCAACTAAGTGAGTAATTCCTCCTAACCTAGCAGCCAGGCTTCTGCTCCCTCCTTAACTAAACATCTTCACTACTTCCCTCTCCTCCCAGGCCCCATCTCTTCCACACGACCGTTCCTCTCCCACCATCCTCACACAGCATCAGCTACACCTTATATTTATCCGGGTTATCGAACAACTCCATCCGACAGGATGATCTTTATATTTGTTAGTCATGGCGACCCCTGAGGTTGTTCACTGCTGCCCCCACTATGTCCCTGATTATCCGTTTGTGGATACTCTATGGACTACTTACAGCCCTCTGGGTGGGAAATACTTCTCCCGCCCACTGGGTGCCCTACCCACTCTCCTCACAACTCCCAGTTCCCTCTAACTCTATTCTCCTTTCCATCTCCCCAGTCTGTTTTTTATTTCCCTCTTCCTTTGTCCCCGGGGTACATTGATGGTCCTCATTCCGATATAAGGCATCTTGACTATCGTCCTTACACCTTATTATCATGGCCCCTTTGAATGTTCTTACATGTCCAAGGGCTCAATTCTCCTTATAAGTGAACCAAAGCCTTCTGTACTACTAGACTCAGTTAAGGCCCATGTTAAGGCCCATGTCGTATGTTTACAAGAAACCCACTTTACTAACCACTCTAACCATAAATTCTTTAATTCCTCTTACCCCCAAGTCTACACAGCCTCTGCATCCCCTAAATGCAGGGGGGTACTTATAGGCTTCCATCAATCCTCTCCCTTTACCATCCTGATGGAGATCAAGGACGCGGAGAGCTGCTATCTAATCCTGACCGGCAACCTTCTAGACAGCGACGTCACTAGAGTGTCCTTCTATGCTCCTAAGAAAAATCCTACTCCATGCCTCTCCCACTTACTAACGACCATAAAAGAGGAACACTTTTCATTTTTGCTGACTCTAACCAAATCTTATATCCATATTTAGATAAATCCCCTTCCCCACCTTTACTCTCCACTAACAAATTAACTTTTCAACAACTTTTAAACCAACACTCCCTACTAGACTCCTGGCGAGAATGCAACCCTGCACGATGCCAATACACTCACTACTCTCTCCCAAACAAACTATTCTCCCAGATTGATCACATTTTCCTTACTGTAGGCTCTTCTCCAACATTCCTTGCATCATCTATTCTTCCTTTCACATGGTCTGACCACAGTGCAGTGCTCACCACCCTTTCCTCTCTGATCCCTAAACCCAACCACTCCTCCTGGTGTATTAATGATACTATTCTAGTGCACCCAGAACATAGCCTAATCATACAGCAAGCTCTCAAGGACTACATCTCTCTCAATACCACAGATGCTACATCCCCCCCGAACATCATGGGAGGCCCATAAACCGGTCATAAGGGGGGTTTGCATTAGGCAAGCCTCCTACATCCGAAAACATAAACGTCTTGAAGAGGCCTTTCAAAAGGCCTCCTTAGACTTTCAGACACACACAACTCCCGCCTCTAGACAAAACTATGACAAAGCTAACCTAGAATTAGACCTGTTCCTTACAGAATCCACAGAAAAAAACCCTACGTAGATCCCATCACAAGTTCTACACAAAGGCCAACAAGCCGGATACGTTTCTGGCCCTTACCCTCCGCAAAGTAGACCAAACACATAAACCAGTGCATTTGAAACTCTCCAGGAATGTCTACTCAAGTAACCCCCTAAAAATTATACACAAATTCCGTCATACGTTGTTGGACCTTTATTCAGACTCCCACATGCTAGATCCAGCAAGAACCGAATCCCTTTTTTCCACCATTAAACTCCAAACGCTATCAACCTCTCAGTCTGCTAATCTTGATGAACCTATCATGCCTATAGAAATTTTAATGGCTATCAAATCCCTTAAACCTAATAAACGTCCGAGCCCTAATGGACTATCGGCCACATATTATAAAAAATTTGCAGACCTATTAACCCCTGTTATAACCTCTGCTTTCAATTCTATCCTGGATGGCCACCTCTTCCAACCCGACTCCTTGACAGCGTTCATTTCCATGATCCTTAAACCTCACACCGACAACTCCTCCTGGTCTAATTACCAACTCATATCAGTCCTCAATCTCGATGTCAAAATTCTGGCGAAAATACTCTCAAATCGCCTGAACTTAATTATCGGCTCCCTAATCCATAGGGACCAAGTAGGATTTATACCTTCATATCAAGCAGGAGACAATATTTGTTGTACGACTCTCCTAGCCTACGCTGTTCGAACTTGCCATATTCCTTCCTGCTTTCTGTCCCTTGACATTCATAAGGCCATTGACACTGTCTCTTGGCCATATCTTCACTTTTTCCTATGCAAATGGGGCTTTGGTACACATTTTCTGCAATGGATCTCTTCACTCTGTACTAACTCGAGAACATACATCCAATACGCTGGGTTCAGGTCTGACCTGCTCTCAATAAACAGAGGCACTAGTCAAGGGTGACCCCTGTCACCCCTACTTTTTACCTTAGCAAAAGAACCTTTAGCCATTCTAATTTGTACTGATCCTAATATTAAAGGCATTGAATTAGGGGATGTTCACCATAAGCTCTGCCTCTTTGCAGATGATGTCTTGCTTTTCATGACATCACCTCTGATATCAGCCCCAAATCTCCTCCAGTTACTAGACCAGTTTGGCCGTGTCTCTGGCCTGGAAGTCAACCTACACAAATCGACAGTCCTAAATATATCCCTCCCTCCCACTCTCATAGACCAACTACGAACAGTCCTGCCTCTCACCTGGTCCTCCCACTCTATTCCATTCCTCGAGATCAAATTCACAGCAAACTCAAATGACCTATATGGTGCAAATTACCCTCCCATGCTTTCTCACCTCACCTCCCTCATGAACAAGTGATCTTCATTACCTATCTCTTGGCTAGGGCGAATTACGATCATCAAAATTACTATTTTACCATAACTTCTATACGTATTCCAGTTTCTCACAATCTCAGTTCCTACATGCTTTCACCGCATCTTACAATGTCGCATCTCCACATTTGTCTGGAATGAATTAAAACCTTGTCTCCTCAAGAACACACTCTTCACCCATAAACTGAAAGGCGGTCTCTGATTACCCAATTTCCATGCCTACTACCATGCAGCCCATTAGGCCCAGCTCCCCAAATATCACGCCACCAAAAAAACACCACTATGGGTATTACTAGAATCTGTAGATTGTGACCCTTTATTGGTGGCTAACCTTTTATAGCTAGACCCATCACTTCGATGCCATCTTATCAACCCAGTCACACATCATTATCTTTCCATTGGGGACAGACTTTAAAAACACCTCCTCATACAGTCCCCCCATAACCCTATGATTTCCTTCTTTCGTAACCCTGTCTTCTACCCACCCTGGTCCTCCCCCTCCTCTTTCTCAGCATGGGCCTCCGCTGGCCTGTTACCTGTACCCAAATTGATTTCATCTTCCAAGATATCATCGTTTCCATCCCTTTGCGAAACCTATGGTCTACATTCATCAGAACTCTTTCGCTACCTTCACTTCCTCTCCTCCATATTTCTTTCATACCCTTTCACCTCTCACCTTTCTTACTTAGAAAGGACCTGTAAATCAGACCCCCATAGAAGAGGTCTCCTTTCAAATGTATACAGACAGCTCTTAGAACCTGCAAACTTCACCCCCCCTTACGTTACTAACTGGGAGAGGGACCTCGGCCTAACTCTCGATCCGGAAGTCTGGTCCCATATCTGGGAAGCCACCAAGTCTTCCTCACAAAACGTAGTGGCCCTAGCGTCCAACTACATGGTCCCCACTAGATGGTACTTGGTCCCCACCAGGATCTCCAAATTTCGACCACACTAACCCCCTCATTGCTTCCGCTGCTGTGACTCAACGGGAACCCACTTGCACATCTGGTGGAACTGTCCAGTAGTACGAGTATTCTGGGCTGAAATATTTTAGATCCTTTCCAAGCTGTTTGACACTCTAACTTCACCAGATCCTACAGTGGCACTCCTGAACATGAAACCTCTAAACAATTCAAACTACTCCTCCAAATAACCAAGGTGGCCAAAAAAATTATTGCAAAGGCATGGAAAACTCCTTCCATCAGCACAGTGGCTACATGAAACCGGGTCACACAAGCCATGAGCCATGCCAAAATTGAGGCCGTCCTACAAGACAGAATACCTAAATTTGAAGTTCTCTGGAGCCCCTGGGTAACCCACTTCTTGCCCCCTAACTTCGATAGCACACTTCTACTCCCAGAGTCCTTTAAACCCCCATACATAGTACAATGACAATGTCATTATTAAATAGACCTAGCCCGCCCCAGGTACAACCCTATCCTCCCCACCCCCCTTTTTTTTCCCTCTTTTTTCTACTAAAGATCTCTCTTCCCCCCTTTCACCCCACCCATTTATTTCTTACTGCTACTTTCAAAATTTACCCCCCTACCCCATCTTTCTCAGCCCTTTGCATGTCTTTCAGCTCGAACGTGGTTTTTCTGCATAGAATTTACCTAGTCTTACACGCCATGACCTTGGCCAATATCATCACCCTTCCGGCCCGTTCCAGGCATAAGTAATCAGCATATGCCAATGTTTTCAGTTCATAAACACCATGCAATGTGTGTTTGGATGTTTCAATATCAATACCCATGATTTTATTCAAGGTACAACACTTACTCACCTTTCCTTCTGAACCTGTTGGATTTTTTTTACAGCTTGACATGGTTCTTTACTCATCTAACTTACCTCTACCTGCCTGATAGATTTCTTGACTGTACTCCTCAAAATGTTAAATTTAATCCATTGTACCTACCTAGGTTTACTGTACTATTTTGCTGATGACATGTTCATGTTACTTAATTTCTTAATACAATTTTTGAACAAGAAAAGGTTATACACTCACAGGCAACTTTATTAGGTACACCTTGCTAGTATCGGGTTGGACCCGCTTTTGCTCCAGGACTACCTTAATTCTTCATGGCATAGATTCAACAAGGTGTTGGAAACATTCCTCAGAGGTTTTGGTCCATATTGACATGAGTTACTGTTGCCTGTCTATCATCTCAAACCAGTCTGCCCTTTCTCCTCTGACCTCTGACATCAATAAGGCATTTTCGTCCACACAATTGCTGCTCACTGGATATTTTCTCTTTTTCGGACCATTCTTTGTAAACCCTAGAGATGGTTGTGCGTGAAAATCCCAGTAGATCAGCAGTTTTTGAAATACTCAGACCAGCCCACCTGGAACCAACAACCATGCCATGTTCAAAGTCACTTAAATCCCATTTCTTCCCCATTCTGATGCTCGGTTTGAACTTCAGCAAGTCATCTTCACCACGTCTATATGCCTAAATGCATTGAGTTGCTGCATGTGATTGGCTCTTTAAGCAATTAGCAATGTGTTACCAAGTAATGAAACAGGTGTACCTAATAAAGTGGCCAGTGAGTGTACATTAGAATTAGAGATGAGCGAAGTATTCAAAAATTCGATTCGACCGATTCGGCGAATTCGTGGACAATATTCGATTCGAGTCGAATATATTCGCTGTGAATTTAACTTAAAAAAGGGTGTTTCTAGGCTTCAGAGAGACTTAATATTAGTGCAGAACACTGTACCTTTAATTTAAATGCCCTTGGAGTCTGCTGGGGAAGAGAAATGCAGATGAGTGCCGTCGATCTTAGAATCACCGCACACTTCACTCATTTGGCCAGTCACGGGGCCAAAACCAGTGTTTGGAGCCACAGTGTGGCGGTGGAGGCAGCAGCAATGGGAGGCCATACAGCAAACTATGACAAAATGGAAACCAGGAGTGTGAGGAGACCTCAAAGTAGCACATGGCAGAGTGGGAGCAATGGGAGGCGGTACAGGGACTCATGTCACACTGTGGACCCAGCAGCAGCGTGACGAGGCGGTACGGGGGCCCATGGCAGATTTGGGGCCTGCAGCACCTATGGGAGGCCTGTAATCTGCCAGCAACCTATGACAAAATGGAAAACAGCAGGAGTGTGAGGAGACCTCAAAGTGGCACAATGCAGAGTGGGAGCAATGGGAGGCCGTACAGGGACCCATGACAGACTCTGGACTTGGCAGCAGCATGAGGAGGCGGTATAGGGGCCCATGGCAGATTAGGGGCCTGGCAGCAGCTAGGGAGGCCCGTAATCTGCCAGCACCCTACGTCAAAAAATTGAACACACCAGCAGTGTGAGGAGACCTGAAAGTGGCACATGGCAGAGTGTGGCGATGGAGACAGCAGCAATGGGAGGCCGTACAGGGATCCATGACAGACTCTGGACCTGGCAGCAGCATGAGGAGGCGGTATATAGGGGCATATGGCAGATTAGGGGCCTGGCAGCAGCTATAGGAGGCCCGTAATCTGCCAGCACCCTATGTCAAAAAATTCTACACACCAGCAGTGTGAGGAGACCTGAAAGTGGCACATGGCAGAGTGTGGCGATGGAGACAGCAGCAATGGGAGGCCGTACAGGGACCCATGAGAGACTCTGGACCTGGCAGCAGCATGAGGAGGCGGTATATAGGGGCCTAGGGCAGATTAGGGGCCTGGCAGCAGCTATAGGAGGCCCGTAATCTGCCAGCACCCTATGTCAAAAAATTCAACACACCAGCAGGAGTGTGAGGAGACCTGAAAGTGGCACATGGCAGGTATAGGGACCCATGAGAGACTCTGGACTTGGCAGCAGCATGAGGAGGCGGTATATAGGGGCCCATATGGCAGATTAGGGGCCTGGCAGCAGCTATGGGAGGCCCGTAATCTGCCAGCACCCTATGACAAAAAATGGAACACACCAGCAGTGTGTGAGGAGACCTGAAAGTGGCACATGTTTGAGGCATGATTCATGGCGGATTTAGTCAGTTGTGTCAGGAACTGGTGGTTTGAAATCCAGACTAATCCACGCCTGATTCATTTTCACAAACGTGAGTCTCTCCACACTTTGGGTGGACAGTCGTGTCCTCCGCGGAGTTACAATACCTCCTGCCGCACTAAACACGCGCTCCGATGCCACGCTACTGGCCGGGCATGACAGCCTTTCAAGGGCAAATTCAGCTAGTTGGGGCCAAAGGTCAAGTTTCGTTGCCCAGTAGTCAAGGGGATTGTCTACCTCGGTTGGCAGGGTGCTGTCCAAGTAGGCCCAAGCCTGTTGTTTGAGGTCCTGCTCCAGGTCCACCTGATGCTGCTGCTGCTGCGGCTGGTTAGTAGTTTCCTCACTGCGCTGGTGAAGAAAGCTACTCATCATCGACTGCAGACTGAGGCAGCCGCTGCTGGTGGAGCTGCCACTGCTCCTACCACCCCACCCCTCCCCTGCTGCCATGGCAGCGGAACGCGAGCGCACAGGGCCCACAGTGTCTGAGGATGGACGTTGGCGCACAAAGGCAGAGACCAACTGACTACATAGGTGGTTTTTATAGTACGTTATTTTGGCCTCCCTCTCAGCAGGTGTGAAAAAGGCCACCATTTTTGAACGGTAGCGAGGGTCCAACAAGGTGGACAGCCAAAAGTCATCCCTCTGTCTGATGGTTATTATTCGGCTGTCGCTACGCAAGCAACCGAGCATGCTATGGGCCATTTGTGCCAAGGAATGCGAGGGACTCCCTGCCTCCATCTCCACAGCATACTGCCACGGTGCGTCTGGGTCCTCTGTCTCCCTCCTCCTCCTCCTCTACCAGATGCTCCTGCTCCTCCACTCCTGTCCGCTGAGTGGAAAAACCACCCATTTCACTCAATAATTCCTGAGCACAAATGTCCTCCTCTACCTCCTCCTCTTCTTCCTGTCCTGCCCCCACAGGGGTCATGTGGCGTTGAGATCTGTGCGCCACGTCTACCGCACCCTGACCAGCCATTGTTAACAGCATTTGTTCAAGGACGTGCAACAGAGGAATGACGTCGTTCATCCCATAGTCCTGCCGACTCACGAATAGCGTGGCCTCCTCAAAGGGCCTGAGCAAGCGGCAGGTGTCACGCATGAGCTGCCAATGGCTGACATCGAAGTTACACAGGGGAGTACCTTTATCCGCTTGTAACATCAGGAAATCGGTGATGGCCTTTCGCTGCTCGTAAAGGCGGTCTAACATGTGTAGGGTTGAATTCCACCTTGTTGCAACGTCGCAGATCAGGCGATGATGTGGAATTCCGTTCTGCCGCTGCAGCTCAAGGAGGGTGTGCTTTGCGGTGTAGGAATGGCTGAAATGCATGCAAAGTTTACGTGACATTTTAAGGATGTCTTGCAGTGGGATGGTGGATTTTAGGAACCGCTTGACAACCAGATTGAACACGTGAGCCATGCATGGCGCATGGCACAACCTTCCTTGACGCAGAGCAGACACCATGTTCTTTCCGTTGTCGGTCAACATGGTTCCGATTTTCAGTTTGCGCGGAGACAGCCATCTGTCGATTTCTCTGTTCATTACACTGAGAAGTTCCTCCCCTGTGTGACTACGTTCGCCTGGACCTGGCAGCAGCATGAGGAGGCGGTATAGGGGCCCATGGCAGATTAGGGGCCTGGCAGCAGCTATAGGAGGCCCGTAATCTGCCAGCACCCTATGTCAAAAAATTCAACACACCAGCAGTGTGAGGAGACCTGAAAGTGGCACATGGCATGAGAGACTGTGGACCTGGCAGCAGCATGAGGAGGCGGTATAGGGGCCCATGGCAGATTAGGGGCCTGGCAGCAGCTATGGGAGGCCCGTAATCTGCCAGCACCCTATGTCAAAAAATTCAACACACCAGCAGTGTGTGAGGAGACCTGAAAGTGGCACATGGCAGAGTGTGGCGATGGAGACAGCAGCAATGGGAGGCCGTACAGGGACCCATGACAGACTCTGGACCTGGCAGCAGCATGAGGAGGCGGTATATAGGGGCCCATGGCAGATTAGGGGCCTGGCAGCAGCTATGGGAGAGGCCCGTAATCTGCCAGCACCCTATGTCAAAAAATTCAACACACCAGCAGTGTGAGGAGACCTGAAAGTGGCACATGGCATGAGAGACTGTGGACCTGCAGAGAACATGCAGCAGCTATGAGGCCCTGGCAGCAGCATGAGGAGGCGGCCATATAGAGGGGACCTGGCAGCAGCATGAGGAGGCGGTTAGGGCCCATGGCAGATTAGGGGCCTGGCAGCAGCTATGGGAGGCCCGTAATCTGCCAGCACCCTATGTCAAAAAATTCAACACACCAGCAGTGTGTGAGGAGACCTGAAAGTGGCACATGGCAGAGTGTGGCGATGGAGACAACCCACCGACTGTTTTGCTCGCTGCCAAGCTGCCACCCTCTTCTCCTGATGATGCGGAAGCAATAGCCTGATGACGACGAGGCTGCCAAGTGCGATCAGCCTCATCATCATCAATTAGGGTCTCCGCCTCACTACTAGCCCCCTCGGCTGCGTGTGGGTCAGGAGACAGACCTGTCTCTACACCGGCTACCGAGCCACTCTCCTCGCCACTACTTCTTCGCCTGGCTGCTGAAGAGGCGGATGTCTCCCCCCGTTCCTGACCGCCCTCTGTTAGCTCTTCCTCACTGTACTGGATGACACCGGGAGCACTAGCCTCTGGCTGCGAATAGTGCTGCCTCGACCCCTTCCTCTGCTGCCACGTCTGCTCGCTCCTAAAACATTGCCTCCTCTGCCACTCCTCTGCATGTTGTCTGACATACTCTTTAATTAAACGATTCTGTGTCCCTGAGTAACAATTCTGTGGCCCTAAGTAACGGTTCTGTGGCCCTCAGTAACAGTTCTGTGTCCCTGAGTAACAATTCTGTGTCTGTGCGAGTAACAATTCTGTGGCCCTAAGTAACAGTTCTGTGGCCCTCAGTAACAATTCTTCTAAGTGTTCTGTCCCTGAGTAACAATTCTGTGCCCTAAGTAACAATTCTGTGGCCCTCAGTAACAATTCTGTGTCCCTGAGTAACAATTCTGTGTCTGTGCGAGTAACAATTCTGTGGCCTGTGGCCATAAGTAACAGTTCTGTGGCCCTCAGTAACAATTCTGTGTCCTGAGTAACAATTCTGTGAGTGCGAGTAACAATTCTGTGGCCCTAAGTAACGGTTCTGTGGCCCTCAGTAACAATTCTGTGTCCCTGAGTAACAATTCTGTGTCTGTGCGAGTAACAATTCTGTGGCCCTAAGTAACAGTTCTGTGGCCCTCAGTAACATTCTGTGTCCCTGAGTAACAATTCTGTGTGTCCCTGAGTAACAATTCTGTGGCCCTAAGTAACAGTTCTGTGGCCCTCAGTAACAATTCTGTGTCCCTGAGTAACAATTCTGTGTCTGTGCGAGTAACAATTCTGTGGCCCTAAGTAACAGTTCTGTGGCCCTCAGTAACAATTCTGTGCCTGAGTAACTAAGTAACGGTTCTGTGGCCCTCAGTAACAATTCTGTGTGTCCCTGAGTAACAATTCTGTGTCCCTGCGAGTAACAATTCTGTGGCCCTAAGTAACAGTTCTGTGCCCTCAGTAACAATTCTGTGTCCCAGTAACAATTCTGTGTCCCGAGTAACAATTCTGTGGCCCCGGTTCTGTGGTCAGTAACAATTCTGTGGCCCTCGAGTAACAATTCTGTGGCCCTAAGTAACAAGTTCTGTGGCCCTCAGTAACAATTCTGTTCTGTGTAACCCTGAGTAACAATTCTGTGGCCCTAAGTAACGGTTCTGTGGCCCCAGTAACAGTAACAATTTCTGTGTCCCTGAGTAACAATTCTGTGGCCCTAAGTAACAGTTCTGTGGCCCTCAGTAACAGTTCTGTGTCCCTGAGTAACAATTCTGTGTCTGTGCGAGTAACAATTCTGTGGCCCTAAGTAACAGTTCTGTGGCCCTCAGTAAAATTCTGTGGCCCTAAGTGTTCTGAGTAACAATTCTGTGTCCCTGAGTAACAATTCTGTGGCCCTAAGTAACAATTCTGTGGCCCTCAGTAACAATTCTGTGGCCCTCAGTAACAATTCTGTGGCCCTAAGTAACAATTCTGTGGCCCTCAGTAACAATTCTGTGTCCCTGTGTAACAATTCTGTGTCTGTGCGAGTAACAATTCTGTGGCCCTAAGTAACAGTTCTGTGGCCCTCAGTAACAATTCTGTGTCCCCTGAGTAACAATTCTGTGTCTGTGCCGAGTAAACAATTCTGTGGCCCTAAGTAACAGTTCTGTGGCCCTCAGTAACAATTCTGTGTCCTGAGTAACAATTCTGTGGCCCTAAGTAACGGTTCTGTGGCCCTCAGTAACAATTCTGTGTCCCTCAGTAACAATTCTGTGTCTGTCCCTGAGTAACAATTCTGTGGCCCTAAGTAACGGTTTCTGTGGCCCTCAGTAACAGTTCTGTGTCCCTCAGTAACAATTCTGTGTCTGTCCCTGAGTAACAATTCTGTGGCCCTAAGTAACAGTTTCTGTGGCCCTAAGTAACAATTCTGGCACTGTCTGTCCCTGAGTAACAATTCTGTGGCCCTAACTAAAGTTTCTGTGGCCCTAAGTAACAGTTCTGTGGCCCTCAGTAACAATTCTGTGTCTGTCCCTGAGTAACAATTCTGTG